CATGAAGTTATGTTGAGGCATTATCACTAAAACGAATTGTCTTTGGGTGAGTGTCATATAAGATAAATACAATTGTAGCACACCGACTATCCTTATGGTTGTTAACAACCATAATTCCTACTTCTATACCTGGAGTAGCATTTGCAAAATATGAGACACTTTCATGATTTTTATTAGTTGGAAAGTTGGAAAAGAAGAGAAAATATCCTTTTTGGCATGATAAATGGACCTCTCTCCCTGATTCTCTTATTAAACATGCCTTTCATAACGTCAATTCTATTCTTCATGCGTGAGTATCAGATTTTTACAAGCCTAACGAAGGTTGGAATTTAGATCTTATGAGAAGATACCTTCACCTGAATATTATTAATCATATTGCTCTTGTTTAACCTCCTAATACCCAGAGTGAAAAGGACATTCTTATTTGGAGACCATCATTTGATGGTAACTTTTTATTAAATCTACCTACACAACAATAGAAAATTGGAAGGCTCAGGAACACAATAATTTATGGTCTAAAATCTAGAAATGGCCTACTTATGAAAAGATTAAGTACTTCCTTTGGAAAGTAGCTTGGGAACATCTTCAAATAAACACCATGCCCTCTAACAAAAAAACTATACAGCATCGTGCTTGTTAACTGGGTTGTAACTCTCATAACTCTTCTATTCATATCTTAAGAGATTGCAAAGATGCTAAGGAGGTTTGGGAAAAGTTAGTAACCCTTTCAAATATAATATCTTTCTCTCTCTTCCTATGCAGGACTGGCTAATTTAGAATGCTAATAATGAAGTAGGAAGCAAATATATTAGAGGATTGCCTTAGAAGAAACTTTTTGCACAAGCTTGCTGGAATATTTAGAAAACAAGATGTAAGGAAGTTTACTCTAAAGATGATACTTTGGACAAAGACATTTCTTTCTTAAGTACTCAACAGATTATAAATGACCTGCAGCTTCAATCCAAGCTTGACCGTCTAAGCAATTTCGATACTAGACATAAAGCGAATTAGAAGCCTCCAGATCCTGGGTGGGTGAGACTTAATGTTGATGGTTCAGTTAAGCGTAATGGTGCTACAGCTTATAGAGGTCTTATCAAGGATGACAAGGGTAAATGGATCAAAGGATTCACTTAAAACCTTAGTTACCAACACATTACTATTGTTAAGCTTATAGGAATTCTAGATGGGCTAAACATTTGCTAGAATGCAAAGATTTCAAAAATCAATGTTTATACTGATTCTATAGAGGCCATATCCCTCATTAATGGTAGCTCAATCTAGAATCATCCACTCTCAGAAATCATCAAAAGCATTAAAAATCTCATCATGAGGAGCTGAGAGGTCACTCTAAAACACGTCTATAGATAAACAAACTGCTGTGATGACCTTCTAACCCACAAGGCCTCTAGCGAACATTTTGATGCTACTCTGTTTGATGACACTCTAATAGATTGTAGTAGCATTTTGTCTTTTGATATGACCTAGCTTTGGTCCTTTTGCATGGTATTTTTACCATGGCTTTGTATTAAAAAAAAGTCATCCCCAAATCAAAGGGGTAAAGACGTAAAGTAGACAGAGCTATTACCAATAGAGGCCAAATCTGATACAACCTCTTGAATAATGCTATGATATGCCCAACAACATCAACGCAATAGCATTAGTGAGAACTTAGCAATCAGTTGATGCTATTTGTAGTAGAGGGAAAGGAAAAAATAATAATAATTATATTTATAAGGAACTTATCAATTTTCAATATTCCTCTTTATACTTTTGTCTTTATTAAATACTTTGAATAAAAATATTAATAATGAGATTTTAAAAATATTGAATAAAGGTAAAAGTGAAAATTTATTAAATTATAAGACAAAGCTAATGAAGTTTAAAGTTTTTCTTGATTCCGATAAAATATGTTAAAAATAACTTATAAATAGGATAAGAGAGAGTAATCAATTGGTCAATGAAGCAGCAAACAATCAACATAGCCTTCTTACAAGCAATAAAATTTTAAGGTTAAGGTGTAAAAACACATTTAAAAAAAAAATCAACAACTTCTAATATTCTTAAGTCTTACCCATTAGATTTATAAAAAGGTGACCATTCTCCAATTCATTAAATTCCATCATTAAAACTCATTCCCTCCATTCAAAAATATAAAGTATTTTTAAGGAGTTGGATGTTCAAAATGTAAGGAATTTTTATTTTTTTGAGAGGTATTTATTATTATTTTTTTTAAAATTACCCTTATTGATAATAACTTTATATTTATTGTAGGGTGTTTAATAGAAGTAAATACAGAAAGATGGGATTAGTTAAAAAGTAGATAATAACTTTATTGAGAATGAGATTCAGTTAAAAATACTTTACATTTTTGAATGGAGGGCGTAACAATTATTATCATGTTAATTTAACGAATAGAGAAGATTAACTTCTTTCATCAATATAGATACTTATGCTTTATTGTTAAGAAATCACTTTACAACTTGCAAGGTGATTTCGTGCTGATTAAACATCTCCCCAAACAGAAAACATGGACTAAGTCATGTTTTTATATTTAGTCTATGAATATAATAAATCATAGATATAGATGAGCTATTATATTTCCATTTATTACTTAATTAAAGCAGTCTTCCCCTGCAATTTTCTATAAACAAGTCCTAGGATGAAGAACGAGTCTTGGAGAAGTATTATAATAATACCTAATAAGTGATTTGATTTTGTGATACGTAGAAAAGATTTGTATTAACTATTACGTTAACATGTCGGTTCTTTTAATTTTAAATTAATTAATTAATTAGATAGTGTCAAAACTTAATGCTGCACTGACCTGAGCATCACCGATCAATATCTTTCAATTTTTCCACGCTTCTCTGCTTTTTCAAGGTTCTCTTAATATATTCGTTCAGCCATATCCTATCACTTTCATCGTTATCATTTGTTATTATTATTTTGTTAAAAGATAACACAAAGCCTTAATGCAGACGTAAGAGGAGAAAAAAAAAAATCAATAAAATCAAAACAGAGAAAAACTACATATATTAAATTCCTTTTGAATCAAATTGCTCACCTTGCCTCTCGAGCTGCTAAAAGTAATATATTATATTTCTTAACACTTAATTCTATGGGAGTGTATTTGGGAAAGCTGGTTTCTTTTGAGGTGTCCAGATATTTTGGTTGGATATGTGCTGCCATAGAAAATAAATGAATTTAATGTGATAAAACCTTTAACACTGAAGCGAACTTTAGTTGGGAATTACAATTATATATAATTAAAATATTTTCAAATAAGTCTTTTACCTAGATAATGAAAATTAAATTAATCATTGAAATGGTTGAGATAAGAGTTAAACGATCATTGGTTCAATTCTAAGTGAACCAAAATTTATTCAATCATGATTAAAATAATATAACTTAATTAAAATATAAAAAATATTTAGACATCAATTTCGAAAGCGTAATATTTAAATAAAAAAAAACACTATCCCACTAGTAAATTGAAGATTCCTATATAAACCACAATAAACCAACAAAAAAGCTACTAAAGCACAAATCTGGCATATTGCCATTTTTTTTTTCCTTTAAACTCAAAACAATGTCATTTCAGACTTATAAGAGAAAAAAAAATATAAAATATAAATTGATCTATTTATTCAAAACTCTTGAGTAAACTAATTAGAAGATTGGTTTACCAGTTTATTTGTATGAGAAGGTTGGGCTCTAATAACATGTCCTTTTTTTAAGTTGTGAAGTAGAGGCCCAAAGAAAAACTACAGCTTCTGATTTTTTTTTTCATTTTTTATTTTTAAAAATTATTCTGTGAACCAATTTTTACAAACTATTTTTCAAAACAAAATAAACTAAAAATCTATTTGATTATATTAATTTGAAAACAAGTTTAGAACTTAAAAAAGTGATTTACAATGGTAGTTACCAGTGGTCAGTGATGGCCGATAGTTGTAGTTGCTAGTTATTTCTTCCAATGAATAATGATAATGATGATAATGGAAAATCACTCCCAAATCTTATACAAGTAATTCAAATACAAAATGAAAAAAAGTCAATTTGCTCTCTTGAAATTGTCAATTAATGTTTGATAGTTGTTAGTAGAATTGTTCAGTTGACAATTAAATAGCAATAATTAAGAAACAAGTTTCAATACTCGTGATCATTATAATGAGATTCAGACTATTTAAGTTTGATTATCTTTATTTTAAAATTTGTATCTATTAAAAATAACTTAACGAGAACGTGAAAATAAAATTATCCCATATATAGGCCATCGAGTATTAATTGGAATGGATTATGTTGGTGTCCTATTTAGATTAAGAAAAAATATAGAAAAAAGAAAATTAAGAAAGAAAATAGAAAAGAAAGCAATTTTTAGCCTTATTTGAATGAATTGAGAAAAGTGGAAAGAAGAAAAACTAAAAAAGTAAGTTCTCTCCACATATTGAAAGATTTTGAGAGGAAAAGTTCATTTCACATGTTACCTCGGATTTGGGGTGTCTCTTCCACGAAGGTGGCGCCGTCACCCTCCTCTCCTCTCACTCCTCTAATACCCACATTTTTAAGACATTATTTGATACGAAAGAATGAGAGGTGACAAAATAAATTTGGGTGAAAAAATGATTTATTACCTTGTTTGGTATAAAGTAGCAATACTTTATTTGAAGTAATTTCCATTTCATCTCTAGATCATGAGAATGGAATCCATTTTATGGGAATGATTTTTTTAGACAAAAATATCTTAAATTATGAATTTTATAAACAAGAGTGTCTGTTCCTTTTTTTTATTGTAATTATTTTTATAAAATAAAAATTATATCATCATTCATTTAATATACTCAAAGTATTTTTAAATCTCATTCTCACTTTTGTTTTCACTCCCATTACCATTTTCTCAAAAATCATTCCACATGACAAACATGACATAAATTAATAAATAAATAAATAAAGGAAGAAGATGGCTATTGAAATAAAGAAGTTGAGAAATGAGAAGCTGCAACCCAAACATTCAAAATTTCAAATCTTGACTAAGGAATTCAAGTTTTCAAACGCCTCAATCCGAGGTTCCCAACTATTATTATTATAGCGTCTCATTTTTTATCTGATCGTCGATGGTGCTCTTGGCAGCTCACAAATTTTCAAAGAAACTGGAGGATCACAACAGTCATACTCATCACGATGCTCACCATCATCATCAATCACACCACTTTTCATCTTCCCTTCAAGCTTTTCGATCCATAGCTTCCGATTCCATTTCCCAATTACCCCAATCTGAAATCCTCTCCCTCTCATGGATCCACAAGTTTCTGTGTCTCTTGCCCCCAATCAACGACGCCTTCGCGAAGCTTCTGGTGGACATCGATTATCCCATGAGCTCATGGGATCCCGAATCTGTCCAAGCGTTTCTCGGATACAGCATGAATTTGCTTGATCTTTTCAATTCGGTTTCTGCTTGTCTCTCTCATCTCGGTCAGGCTCGGATGTCTGTGTCTCATGGATTGAGTCTTTTGGAGAATTCGCCTTCTTCGGCGACCCGGCATCTGAAATCGATCCCTCCTGGTAGTTTCAACCGTAGTTTCGGTGGGGATACAAACGTGGAGGATCGCGAGGCAAAAGATTTCTCAGGTAAGCAAATGGTTGTTCATGAAGCTGTGAATGAATTGATGAGGATTGGCTTCTGTGTTTGTGGGATTTTCTTGTCTGGTTTGTGCAGCGATTGGAAACCCTACTTGGAGACGAGAAAAATCGCTGGTGAATTTGATGGTTCTTCAGTTTTCCCGCTTGATTCCAGAATCAATGAGCTGATGTTGATTAGTAAAATACCAGTGTTGAAAGAGATTGAAGAGATAAACAATTATGTGGCTAAACTTATTGCTGCTTCAAATGCTGAGAAACTTGATTCAGCCATGGAATTGCAGAAAGAGCTTCATGTATTGGAGAAGCTCGTGGACGATTTGAGCAAGGAAATGGATGATTTTTTTGGAAGCGTTATGACTCAGAGAAATGAGTTGATCGATTGCTTTAGGCTGATCACCACACAACCGCAAAAATCCGTTGCTTGATCTGTAGATATGTTCTTGGTTTCTTTGATTCTCATATGAGTTTGTTGTAAATTCTGAATATGATTGATTTCTTTGCACAACAATGTCCGCAAGTACATAGATGGAATAGTTTGAGATGATATTTGGAATGATAGATTCAAACATACTTTAAAAACATTGTCACATTTCAGCCAATAATGGAAGTACATTCCCTTGTTCTTGATCTTCTCTGGGACTTGTTTGTTTGGATGGAATGAAAAAGGAACATATAATTCATGATTATTTTATTTCTACAGTATGCAATACAAGATGAATGATCCAACTTTTTGTGTGTGGAATACAAGATTATTCCAATTTAATTAGTAATTTTGAATTCTGAGTTCTAAGAATACAACAACTAACAACATTACAACTGGATGGTTAAGTCCTAAAAATTTAGCAGCATGACAACTCAGTTGTAAAGCCTACTGCCCAAAAGAGTCTGTCAATGCTTGATTCGAATTAGTATGGTTTTTAAGTCTTCTTAACTTGATGTAGTGTAAACTCAGATGTTAGGTGAGTAAACAATAAAAAAAGGGAGAATATTAATGAAAAATTCTTGAAAAAATTTAAGATCTTAAAAGGATCCTAGATAAATTGGATGCTTGTTAAAACAATAACTTTATTTATTAATTTACTAATGTTTATTTGTTAGAAATCTTTTTAAGAAATTAATTTTTTTCAGATTATTTAATTGATATTCTCCCTTAAAAAAGTCAATGCTGGAAGAATAGAATTACGCTACGTGTATCAAAAGTAAAATTTAACCCTATACCCAATGAAAGCAGTGTGCTAAAAGGTTAAAAAAAATCATAAAATTGTTGCCTACGTAATGGTTCTAAAGAGAGAGATCAAACTTTTATTATATGCAGGGGAAGGATATGGTGAATTCTAGTGTTTTGAATTTTCTTTTAGGCCTCCCATGTTTAATATTTTAAAACTTTTGTTCTTGATCTTACTTTTTTATTCCCTTTAGTGCTTTATTGTTTGATTTAGAGGGGCACAAGTCTTAGGTTGCCTTTATGTAAATTCAACATTTTTTTTAATAATGCAATTGGTTATAAATTTTTTTTTATTCTTTTTGGACATTGTAGTTTTATTAATGTATAATTTTTTATTGTGTGTGTGTATATTCTATTGCATATAATTCTATTCTAGGCATTGTCAGTATATAAAAAATTTAGGGACAACATAACCATTGATCCTTATAGAAAGCAATTGTCCCTTTTAATTTTTACCTTTTGTTGATTCAAATTGCCAACTCATTAACATTGTTAGCTGCGCATCAAATTATTTAACGCTATTATTAGTGACATATTATCATCCCTCTAAACATATTTAAAAGTAGAGTGACCTAAATTATTGAAAAGAAGCACATGAATCAATAACAAAAAAGATAAAACTATAGAGATGAATATTTATGTTTTTTCAACAATTTAAAGTATGGAAAACTTCATGCCGTCGACCTCTTCATGAATTTAGCATTCATATCCTTCATTTCAGCCGAAAACTTGGATCTTTATTCCTTCCGTAATGGCTAATATGTGAATCTCAACTAACATCCTCATGATTTTCGCATACATGTCCTCAATTTCAGCATAATATATGGATCTGACTAAATGTACATCTTGATATGTATAATAAACACACTACAACTTTGAGCCTTATTTTACTTTTGATGAGTTTTTAAATTTACCCCCCTAAATTTTATTTCACGAAAAAAGATTAGATTCAACAACCTCTAGAACTAAAAAAAAAAAAATATAATTATTAGTCTTTATACTCTTAGCGTGTTTTAATATTAGACCTTGCATTTCTTTTTGTTATTCCAAGCCTTAAATTTCACTAGTCTACAAAGTTAGTCCCTATTATCACTTGTTGAGTTAAATATATTGATGTGTACATAATTCTATTAACAGAAAGACTTATGTATTTAGCTTTATATATTTAATATATCTTTATCTAATCATATCACAGATTTGAATGTGTTAATAATATTAATAATAAGAATTTATTATAAAATGAATAATTTAAAAATTATGCACATGTCTTAATTTAAATGGAAATAAATACCTTAAGTATATATAAGACTAAGTGTATAAACTTTCCCCTTGTACTAATTCTATTGCCAAGGTAATAAAATTATAATAAGTTGAATATTATATAAGCAAAATGACCACTAACCTTTATGTGTATCTTTCTTAACTATCTTTTCTGAAGCTTCATCCATTGTGCATTTAAGGATTTTGATTTAATGTCTTTTTTTCTTTCCTTTTTTGGCCTGCTACTCATTTTTCATATAAGTCAATATAATTTTAACAAGTTAATGTCAGAAGTAATAGTTTATGTACACATTAGTTATTGTTAAATCATTACAGTCATCTTTAAAAAAAATATAGGAATTAATATTACAATCAGATGAAACTCAAGAAACTTGAAATAATGAAAAAAAAATATAAAAAACTAATAATAAAATACCTTAAAAATTACATGATCCAATAGTTATACACTCCCAACTCAGAATTGATAAGACCACAAGGTGCAAGGGTGAGCTAATGGATACAAAGGATTGACAATGGAAGTTGGACATTGGGCCTTTTTTTGGGGCAAACATTAGGCTCATGTATGAAAGAATATTGATAGCCCAATAACTTGATCACCGGTGTATCACCAAAAGAAGACTTGATCACCCAAAAAAAAAATAAAGAAGGAAATTTAAAATGATGAAAATAAAATAGATGAACATATCAAAATAAATTCTAAGATTTGTAATAGGGTATTATTATGCTTTAAGAGGCTAACAAGCTTGAAAAAAAAAAAAAGAAACATTCAAGAACCTTGTATTTATTTCCCTTCAGTTTAACCTGATAATTCAATTTTAAAATTCTGAAATTAATGGTTTATATTATTGTTTATTCAACTAGTTCGAGTCTTGCGCAGTGCACGCATTTTAGAAAAAGAGTCATACTTTTTATAGCTTATTAAGAATGCAATTTGTTAGAGCTTTTATGTTATGTATAAATATAAATTAATGGAACAGTTGCTTTTCATAAAATATTTAAAAAATTTTATTAAATTGTATTCAAAGCCCTCATTTGGTATGAGTAGAGAATCCCATCCTTCAAGGAAATAGTTATATGCTTGATTCTCAACTCTTATATAGGAAGCAAATAAATACCTAAATAAACTGGGTGCATCACGTCATTTGTAGTCTGTTCAATTAAAATACTCTAAATAATCTAAATAAAATCTTGTGTGACATTTTTTTAATTAATTTTATTTTTATAACAAAATAAACATTTAATTTTTTGCCTTTTAACTCTCCATTATCATTAATGTCAAAATTAGTTTATATTGAATATCGTATAAATGTCATGTTTTTATTGAACAGATTATAAATGACGTAATATACCTGATCTATCTAAGTATTTCTCATAGAAAATATGTTAATAAATATTGAAATATATATATATATATATAGATATAAAATGGGTTGTGGTATACTATTGGATATTGACAAATTTAAAGAAAAAGGAAAAGAAAAGACGAAGTGGAAAAAAAAATCATTACAATAATAAAAAAGGTAAAAATGTTGAAAGCAGCAAGTTAACTATATAAATATCGCTTTTTTTCCTTTTAACTTATCAATAATCAGTCATTAATCATTATTATATAATATACAAACAAGGTTATCGTTTGAGATTTTTAAAAATGCAGGCATAAAAAAATGAAAGAAAAATAATTTTCTTTTTATATAACTGTCTAACTAAATTAGATTCGAGCATTATTGAAAGACATTTTCTTAAGCTACCTCAATGAATTATAGTTTCAAGTTGTTTTAGACTGAAACTCCTTCAAGTTTTTAAATCACTCTCCAAGAAGTTCAAGAGATTTCAGCTTTGTAAATTGCAAGGGAGAAATCATCCCAGATCTTGATGTTTTGTAGCTTTTGTTGGGCCTAATGTCACGAATGATATATTCGTGATCGTGTAAAGACCAATATAATGAACAATTCGCTGGTTAGCCTCACACAATATGGGTAAAGGGGCGACATTAGCATTTGGGTGTGTTCTGTCTTATTCTTCGGGCTGAGTGCACAACTGGTCGGGAGCTAGTGCCGCCTCCCTGATGAGCCCATGGCAGGGCAAAACTAGTAGAATTCGTATGTGATAAGGCTTGTCCTGAGGATTATGGGGTCCTCTGGACGCCGCACGGGCGCTGTGTGCTGCACCAAACTCTAAGGCCGTGACAGATTGGTATTAAAGCGGGACGTACTTTACTGCCGTGTGCCTGTGGAGTCTCACATTGGGACTAGTTGACCTCGGCACCGCTCCAAAGGCCTGCGAGGTGTAGGTAGGTCCAAAAATAGGGACTTGGGCGGAAAGGTTGGCCGTGGTCGACTCCACTCCTGTTGGCTCGCGAGTGCGAGTGGGTCCGAAGAGTGTTGCACTCGGGTGGCCATTCAGCAGTAAGCTGATGTGTGTGTGACAGTACTGTACGGGTGATCCTTGGGCCGAGTCTTTCTCCCCTAGCACGAGGGCGTGCTAAATTAGGTGTGGGAGAATGTCACGAATGATATATTCGTGATCGTGTAAAGATCAATGTAATGAACGATCCATTGGTTAGCCTTGCACAATATGGGTAAAGGGGGCGACATTAGCATTTGGGTGCATTCTGCCTCAGTCTTCGGGCTGAGTGCACAACTGGTCGGGGGCTAGTGTCGCTTCCCTGATGAGCCCATGGCAGGGCGAAACCAGTGTGGTTCGTATGTGCCAGTGTGGTTCGTATGTGATAAGGCTTGTCTCGGGGATTATGGGGTCCTTGGGACGCCTCACGGGCGCCGTGTGCTGCGCCAGACTCTCAGCCCGTGACAGAGTGGTATCAGAGCAGGACGTACTTTACTGTCGTGTGCCTGTGGAGTCCCACGTTGGGACTAGTCAATCTCGGCCGCTCCAGTAGGCCTATGAGGTGTAGGCGGGTCCAAAAATAGGAACTTGAGCGGGAAGGTTGGCCGTGGTCAACTCCACTCCTGTTGGCTCGCGGGTGCAAGTGGGTCCGAAGAGTGCAGGACTCGGGAACGGTAAGCTGATGTATGTGTGGCAGTACTGTACATGTGATCTTTGGGCAGAGTCTTTCTCCCCTAGCACGAGGGCGTGTTAGATTGGGTGTGGGAGAATGTCACGA